CCAGATGCCCGAGCCTCAGCTGGCTCCTCTTGACGTGGAGGAGCAGCGGCTCTACTCTGAGTCCCTCCCGGATGACTGAGTTTCTCACCTTATCTCTAAGGGAGAGCCCAGCCACCCTACAGAGTAAAATCATTTCGGCTGCTTGTATCCGTGATCTCGTTCTTTCGGTCATGACCCAAAGCTCATGACCATAGATGAGGGTGGGAACGAAGATCGACCGGTAAATCAAGAGCTTCGCTTTTTGGCTCAGCTCTCTCTTCACCATGACAGACTGGTACAGAGGCTGCGCTGATCGCCTGTCAATCTCCAGCTCCATTTTTCCCTCATTCATGAACAAAATCCCGAGATACTTCAACTCCTCTACTCGGGGCAGGACATCCCCCCAGAGCCAGGGAAGGCTCTTTGCAATTGTTTAAATACAAAGGTAAAATTCTAACAAACATGAATAACAACAGTTTAATTTTTACCTAAAACATATCTTAGATAACTGAAGTTCTAATTGATATGAATATATCTCTCAGTCTGTACCTAGCTGTGATTATTTCATGTGATGAGACGGTTGAACGTGGAGCTCAGCTGCCATGAGGGTTTATGGTGTCACTGTGGGCTCAGGGAAGGCTGTGCTGATTAGAACAGCAGAGTTGGGGGTCTCTGTGTTGTCTGTAGAGAAAAGCTGCTGCCACTGAATGAAGTCAGAGAATTCAGTACAGGGATTGAAACTGCAGAAGAAAATCACTGCTCAAACTCTCTGCTGCATATGAACACATAAGTGTTTCTTCTCAGAAAAAGAGGAATGTCTGAGAAAATCTTTTCAATGTGTAACCGTATGAAGGAAAACTGAAAAACAAGTTAAACTAAAGTAGCCTTTATATTATCTACAGTGGTCTTTAGTGAAAATAATCAAATCTAAATGTAGTTTCAATATTTACAGGATAACTTTTGATGTAGTCTCTTGGATTGTAGTTGTTTTAAGATGGTAGGTATCAGGTTTTGTCTTACCACCGTAAATACACATTACCTTTGACCTCTAGGAAAATGTAACTTGGATTATTTAGTCTGTCTCACTGAAATAAAGATCACATCCAAGCACACATGCTTTTATTCTTACATTGCTTACATGTTGAAAGTGTCATTATGGCGGGACGTCCTCAAAATATGCATGCCCAGGACGAATAGTACAAAATAATGCAAAAATCAGAATGTTCCACCGTCTGTGTATGGAAGTGTTTGGGTGTTCCAGAGTAGCGATGAAATGTGACTGACTGGAGGGTTGCAGTGTTAACACAAGCTGGCGAGCCACGAGATGTGATTTAGGAAGACAGCAGCTTGGTAAATACATCTCACCCCCAGCTGAGGAAATCAATTACCTCTGCACTTCAAGCAAATTACTGGGAGCATGAGCAGATACATCCAAATGATGCATTAAACAAGAGGCCATGAAAATATATAGCTTTTTAACACCATGTACAGGGTGCAGAGGGAAGCAGTGGAGCACCAGGCCTGATGTAGAGCCTCTGATCACTGCTTCTGAAATCTTTAAGTATTAGATTTATCACAGTTATAAAAAAAACAAAAAACAATTGTGTTTTATTTCCATCTATCCAGAACCGATGCTAGGTCCAATCAAACTAAAGGTGAAGAAAATAATAGTCTTCTAAGGCATATAAGCTTAGAAGAAACTAAGGTCCTCCTCCTTCAATGTCTTGATATCGTACACACAACTGCATTATTGCATCTGATGTGATTCAAATAATAAAGTCATCCATCTAATGAAGTATTTTCCCTCTGGATTAAAAATGATATTAAATCAATACTGAAAAACAACAATGTGCAAGTGACACTATTACAGAAGTACAGGCCGATCTCCAATCTTCCATTCATCAATAGAATTATAGAAAAAGCTTCACTTCCTAACAATGACCAACTGCCTTGATGTCCTTTAGTCTCAGTACTGAGACTAAGTGTTCAATGACATCCATATGAACACAGACTGTGGAAGAACCACAGTTCTGGTTCTGTTGGACCTCAGTGTTGATCATGACATATTACTGAAATGACTGGAGAGTTGGGTCAGACTCAACTGGTTCCAATCTTACATAAAGAACAGGGATTTATTTGTTTCAATAGGAAACTTCTCATCAAAGTGGACAGAAGTCACATGTGAGATCCAAGGTTCAACCCTAGGATCCCTCTTAATATCTACATGCTCCCATTGGCTCGGGTTATAATAGGAAATAAAATTAGCTACCATAACTACACGGATGATAGTTATCTACATAATGATGTCACCAGGTGACTCTGAACCATCCAATCACTGAACAGATGCTTAGAACAAATAAATATGTGGATGTGCCATAACTTTCTGCAGCTGAAGGAAAACTGAAGTTATTATCTTTGGACCTAAAGAGGAAAGATTTAGAGTCAACACTCAGCTTCAGTTTTACAGAGAGAAACTAGAGATCAGACTGAAATCTGGGTGTAGTGATGAACTCTGACCTGAACCTTCAGAGACACATAAAGACAGTTACAAAGTCGGCCTTCTATCACCCAAAGAACATTTTCAGGATTAGAGGACTAATGTCTCAGCAAAAAAACATTTTCTCCTCTAATCCTGAAAATGTTCTTTACTGCAACAGTAAACAGTGTCTTCACAGGTTTGATTAAAAAATCAATCCTCCAGCTGCAGCTGATCTACTGCTGGAGTTCTGACTAAAACCAGGAAGATAGAGCACATCACCTAGTTCTAGATTGCTCCAAAAGCAGGAAGCAGAGTATAGTGCAAGGCATTATGGGTAAATACAACCAAAACAAACATGTAAATCCTTCCACGGAGAGAACAGACTTTAAAATACTGTTGTTAATTTATAAATCCCTGAACGGCTTAGCGCCACAATACATTAAGAATCTGCTGTTTTATTAACTTTCCAGTCCTCTCAGATCTTCTAGTTCTGGTTCTGCTTTGCATCAGAACCAAACATGGACAAGCAGCATTCAGCTTCTATGCACCACAAATATGGAACAAACTTCCAGAAAACTGCAAAACAGCTGAAACACTGAGTTCCTTCAGTATACACAATAAACACAGAGGGTCTTTATTTTAAACTAGGGCATAACACTTGACTGTTGTCTCATCAGACTAGAAAGGTCCCGTGGGAGGCTGAGCTCTTGACAAAAGGCCCGGCTCAGTCTTTGTCTCCAGCTCCCCTTGTTAGGATTCCAAAAGTGCAGTCTGCTGCTGATCACGATGATTATGCTGTGTTGAGTAATAAAACCTGGTAATCTCCTGCTGTGACTGACTTCAAAGATCTGCATCTAATGAAGTACCAGGGTTCATGAACTGAACAGACACACCTGAGCTTTAGATGGAGCTCCCGTCTGCCTCACATGTACAACATTATTATTATTAAGATATATTTCAAAATTTCTGATATGTTAGCGACACAATACACCTTAAATATAAAGTGAGCATCAGGGATATCAGCTTTGGAATCTGCCTTGTAAACGATCTGTCTCCATTTTTGTCTACACTGTGCTCAGTGTCTTCTTCAGTGGTTTTTGTGACATTGCCTTTTATGGTTCTTGGTGCAGCGCCACCACAGGCGAGAGGGGAACTGGTTTTTCAAAGTATTTGGTTGGTTCGACACAGTGCAGCGTGAAAGCGAACTGCACCAGCTGAAAATTTAACAAATGTTGTCATTTTGGTCACCAATGGAACCGAGTCTACTGGACTATTAAGTGTGAAAACATCCTAAAATTCCCTCTATTGGAGTTCTATTCACATCACATGTTGGATGTGCTTGACCTTGAGATTATCCTCTCAGGAGACATTTTACTCTCTCCACTTCCTAAGTTGCACTGTCTGTATAAAAGTCTCAGGATTAACCTGAAAGATGTGATTTGTTCTCCTCCAGCTGTTCGGAACGACCGGAATAAGAAGAAGAAGGAAAGTCCGAAGCCAGAACTGGCAGAGAGCTACGAGCTGACGGCGGAGCTGGAGACCATCATCGAGAAGATCCGTAAGGCCCATCAAGAAACCTTCCCCTCCCTCTGCCAGCTTGGCAAATACACCACGGTGAGTGTTCAGCCAGAAGAGGCACACATTCCTCTTTACTGTTGGATCAATGGGGACCTGGGTGTTTTCATTCATTTACAGTATGTTATCTGACTCATGGAATTGTGCTTCTTGGATCCTGGCTGACAAATTTGCCATCAGCATATTGATAATCAATTTCTTGCACTTCACTCTTAATCCCCATTTAATTCAGCTGGAGCCCCCAGTTGTACAGTTATCACTGTCTGGACAAATCCTCCACAGAACCTTTTATTCTTTGCCATTAGGAATTGATTGGACATCAAGTGTGATGGAAGGCCAGTGGAAGGGATCATTATATTACTGTAAACATCCTGACCTCAGGGTTTGTTCCTCCCACTACGGAGCATTAATTTAATCTTTATTTAAACTCAGAACTTGCTGAGACCCAAAAAATGAAATAAATAAATAAATAAAATAGTGTAGCAAAATAGCATCTTCAGATTCTTTTCAACTCCTCTTCAACTTTTGACAAGTTGGAAAAGTTTGACTGATGCATCAAACACAGCTTGCATTATTACCATCTTCTATAAATGTACAACTGAACGAAGCTGGATGTCAAAAATGCTTGTCAATGCTGGAGATGGGTTTATATTCCACTGATGTGAAACCCCCTAAACACGAGTCCCACCAATGAATGATGGAAAGGCCTGATAGCGAGGGGAAACCAGGGTCTTATAGAAAGATGTCATCAGTCGGACACATCAGGGTCTGATTGTCTCTGAGCATCAAACTGTGTAGAGAAAATATCCAACAAAGCCCTGTGTGGATCTACTTTCCTTATCCGCCCTGAGGGGCAGCACTGTGCTGGGTAGAACTGTGAAAAAGATGGAGGTCATGAAACTAACGGCCTCAACACCTTGTTACGCCTTGACAGGAAAATGTTTGGAGCTCTAAGATGGCTGATAGCTGGAAAGAAAGTGGTGAGCAGCCGCTGACTGACACGCAGACGCAGCAGCATTGAGACGGAGCTGACAGTCTAATATGCTTGTTTTCCAGCCGACTTACATATAGATTACAGCTGACGGCTGTGAGCCATGATTGGCACCCTGCTCTGCGGTGGGATGGGCTGGGGGGCGTCTGGGGACTGATTTGGTGATGTTAGTTTGTGAGAAATCTCACACACCTGTCAGTCATTAGGGTTGGGTTGGCCTACTAACCCCACCCTAAACATGTTTATATGAAAATAATCAAAGGCAACAGAGGCCCTAATGAGCAATAATGTGTCTCTTATTACAGTGATGAGATCCATTCAGTCAGTGACAATAGGTTTCACGGCAGAGCGGTGGAAGTGATGCTAAAGTAGGGCAGTCAGCAGCTTTTAGCTCTCTGCTGAGCGCAGCTGCTCGTCGTCTCAGCGACAGTCAGCTTCCATCTTCATAACCACGTATTTCCCCCTTCTCAATACAAACACAAAGCTCCTAATCGCTGTAACCCTTCTTTGCTCCACCCTCATCCGTCTCTCATGAGACGTTTCTTCCATTTAGCCACGTAAACAGCCTGCATTGAGCTAAACTCCAAGGCTGAAAATAGTCAAACAAAAGAGAAAATATTGCTTTCCAGTGATGATACATAAGCTGGTGTTTGTTGTTTATTGGAGTCGACAGTCGGGCCTCTGATAAAGCTGTAATCTGGATCAGTGGTAATTATGCTTGCTCTCAGGCGTCGAGGAGTTCCTCATTATTTCAAGGGATTGGATCCTGATGCAGCTTTTAACTTCTCTTCAACAGAAACAGAGGAGGAGCGCCGGCTTTTCCGTAGATTAGGTTAAAGCTCCAATTATGTGGTGAAATATTCAAATCCTAGTCTGCGGTGATTTAGGAGTTCACTGGCGGGTTAGCACAGATAGCTCCACAATGAATAACCCTCCGCTGACAGTGATGGTGATGAAAAACGAGCCTGGCACTTTCAAAGACAAACTAAAGCATTAGTCGTCAACGAGGAGGCCGAGCGGGCGGCCGCCGCCGCAGAACACGCCTCGGCCTGCAGATATTAGCCACATTACGCTTTGTCCGCTCTCTCCATCCATCTCAGGTGGCGGCTGCCTCCACAGCCGTCCCCCTTTCTGCATGTGTGCACTGGAGCCTGCTGATGCACCTCTTGGTGCTCGTTTCTACACTGCCAGGCTTTTTTTTAATGCAGCAACTTGTCTAATTTGTTTGGAAAAATGAACTTAAATGAAATTAGGATTCCCTGGTAACGTCCCTGTTTCCCTCTATCGAATTATGGGACTGGTGTAATTGACTGAGATTGCTGGGTGGGGGGAAGAAGGTTGGAGGAGGTTTTAAAAAAAGCCTAACGGTAACACCTCGTTACGCCCGGCTCGGCCCTGTTTTTCATTGTGCTTTCCCTCCTCAGCCAGAGGGCAAAACAAGATAAGTTGCTTTAATATCTGCCACTGTCACGTTCTTCACCCTGTCCATTGAGAAACAAACACTCTGTTACCCACATTGAATCTCCACCTCCTCCCTTCCCATCAAACTGGACGTCAATCAGTGGAATGTGCTGTTGTGTCGACTGCAGCTCGTTGACTGTGATTTAACACAGTCCTAATGTGCCTCTCACTTAACCCCTATCATACTTAATGATCTTTTTCTCTCTTAACTGTCTGCTGCCGCCCTCTTTCTCCCATTGTCTCTGTGGTGGCCTAACAGTAGATCCTTTGAGTGTGACAGTGTCCAGCAGCTGCCTCAGGGGGACGGATGTACGCAGCTGCCTGTCTCTTCAGTCACTTCACTGGCTGCTGTCCTCCAGCCCCCAGCCTCCTCCATGGGCTGGACCCCATATGCTGATTACACATTGGATGTTATATGAGTTTGTCCCTTTTTCCAGTTGCTTCCTCTTCAGTAATATATTTATGATGAACAAAATCAGTTTCAGAACAACCCTGACTTGTGGGAGAATGTTCCTGGGGCCATTTTAGTTTGTAGAAGAAATCAACATTTTGACAGGAAAAATTACTTAAACGGGCAGGGTTATGTAAAGTTCTGGGGTTTTTTGTTTTATATCAGGTTATGATGTTATTCTCTCATCAAAAATGTGCCTGGAGTGCTGCCTAGATACGTTCATGCATGTTTGAGGAATCATTTAATCGCTCATAGCAACCACTGAGCTGTTGAAAACGCCTGGCTGCACCTAGCTCCACCTTCAAGGCACAGCTCCTCCCCAGAGCTGCAGTTTCCCAGCTTCTGAGCTGACGCCTCACTGAGCAGCCCTCCCACACTAAGTTCCTACAGACTAGCCAGCAGAAATTAGCCAGCATGTGGTGGAACTGCGCCTCTGCTGAGCTCATCATATCTGAGCTGCTTCTCAGTGCTACGCTGGTTGGTAAAAATAGACGGTTAAAAGAGGAATGATGCTGTGATAACTTCCTGAAGGCAGAGTAATAAAAAGAGCAGGAGCTTTTTAAAGTGACAGAGGCCTAATTTCAAGACGTTAATTTACTAAATCAATTAGTAATCAAACACATAATACTGCCCCTTTAATTTGTTCAAAGAATGAAATAGCTGGTTAAATATTCATAAAATCTAGAAAACAGTCATTTGTCAAGAAACTAACTACAGAAGTAGTAGTTAGTATAGTGTATTTTCCAGGCACATAGTGCCATTTTATAACACAATAAAGTATGTTAACTTTAACTATTCTGAAAATGCTGCGCATATCAAATATGACCTAAAAAATTTAACGCCTTCAAATTGGGCCTCTGTCACTTTAAGAAGCTCTGCCTTCAGGAAGCCATCACAACATGTCTCAACTATTAACCCCTTAACAATGTTTTTACCACATTTCACTGATAATTAGCTCCTATTGTGAGATCAGCAGATGCACAGTGCAGCTAGGTGTTTGCTAATTGCTGCTGGCTAATCTGAAGGAGCTGAGTTTAGGAGTCAAGGGGAAGGGCTGCTTTGTGAGGCGGAAGCTTAGAATTTTGAAAACTGCACCTGGAAGGTGGAGCTAAGTCCAGCCAGGCATTTTGAACAGCTGAATGGTTGCCATGAGAGACTGAGGGATTCCCCAACAATCCATGAAAGAATCAATATAACACTTTTGATCAAAGGATGACATCATAACATGATGTAAAGCTAAAAAGAAAGTTAATTTTACTGCTTACCTTTCCCCTCTCAATCCCTGATTTTCTCACTGAACTGTCTGAGAAAATTTAGCTTCCACTTTTTTCATTTTCTTCACTGTAGCTTCTTCATCTCCAGCCTCCCTTCTTCTACTCCTGTATGTGTGACTCTGTGCTGTATAGCTGTACTAATGGCAGTCCCAGCTCACTGCTACCTGTCACTACTGGTCCTTTGCATCCCATCCCTGCTCACTGACACTGTTACCCTCATTATCGCAGGGCGCTTCCACCCAGCTCAGTGTTTCTGAGAGCTCGGGTCGTATGGAACCTCTTGACTGTATATTACTATGATGTGGAGCAGAGCCAGGAGGGCGCAGTGAGCAGATAGTTAGCAGCAGCTCCTTGTCCTGACTCCCTGTGTTTGTATGTTGTAGAACTCGAGTGCGGACCACCGTGTGAGGCTGGACCTGGGCCTGTGGGACAAGTTCAGTGAGCTGGCCACCAAGTGCATTATCAAGATCGTGGAGTTTGCCAAACGAGTGCCTGGCTTTACAGGGCTGACCATCGCTGATCAGATCACACTTCTGAAAGCTGCCTGCCTGGACATACTGGTGTGTGTTCCTGCTTTTATTCTGAAAGAGCATGCTTGTTTATCATCATTTGTTTTTTTCTGTTTCAAAGCTGATCTACCAACTTCAAAAAGGTATCTTTTTTGATGCTGAATAGTGATCAAAGTTTGCTTGGGTCAATATTAACATTTTATTCCCAAAGGAGTTGAACATGTTCATACACAAATTGGCAACTAACAGTAAAATTTTGCATCAACACAATACAATTGCATTTTCTTTTGTTGCATGAAACAGTGTAAATGGGACAGGTCATATTTTTGAAGTTGGGTTCTATGTTAATGTTATGACCAATAAATATGGTTCCAGCAGTAGATCACCCTTAGCAACCTCCATTTGATGAATCTAATAACTGGTGAGAGCAGGCCGGACATCCATCGTCTGCACCTGCTTGTCCTTCCAGGGTTGTGGGGGGCTGGTGTTTATCTCCAGCTGTCATTGGGCGAGAGGTGGGGGCACTCTGGACAACATCAACACATCTCCATCAACACAGAGACACACAGGACAGACATGCATGCTCACTATTTAGTGCAGTGGTGCCCAAAGTCGGTCCTGGAGGCCCGGCATCCTGCGTGTTTTAGTTCTCACCCTGGATCAAATGATGGCTCATTAGAAGGCCTCAGAAGAACAATGACTTGCTGAAATGGTTGATGTCACCACCAGGGAGAGAACTGAAACATGCAGGATGCCGGCCCTCCAGGACCGACTTTGGGCAGCCCTGATTTAGAGAGACCAGTTTGCAGTCATGTTTATGGACTGTGGGAGGAAGCCGGGGTACCAGGAGACAACCCACCCACACAGAAAGACCTCAGGCTGGGATTCAAACCTATGACCTTCCTGCAAGAAAACAGTACGACTGACTGCGCCACCATCTCGACTCGAAAACTTTCAGTTGGTGGGTGGTAGACCATTGACAGTCAAGGTCTTCAGTGTAGATAACCATTGAAACACAAAATACAAAGCTGTTTGTTGATAAAAAAGAGCATTTACATGAACTGCTGTGGCATCTTGTAGGACTTTGCGGTAACA